TCGGTTGGATAGACGATATCGGGCGTCATTTGGTCTATGGTCTCCCCCTTTGTTCTTATTGATATTGTAATTCTTGAATTCGTTTCTATATTAGCTAACTTATAGAAATAAAGGTTTAATAAGGGAAAAACTTCACGTGTTCTGGAATGTCCGCAGTGGTCGACGGCATATGAATACTATTTCTGCACATTTTTTCGACCAAATCATGACGCATGATGACAATTTCTTGATTGGTGTATTGTATACGGCATGGGTTTGATGCAAACGAACAATTAGGTACATCTTTCATCAGTTCAAAAAGTTCAAATGGTAACGGTGGCCTGCAAACAGGAGCTTAAACTGAAAACAAAATATGCTGAACTACAACAACGAGTAATAGTTCGAATGTAATTTAGAAATTTGATATAGAGGAATCAAACACCCCAATCAATTCGTTAAAATTGGTAAGCAGTCATCTAATGCTTGACTAAAACTCAGTGAAACATGCAAAACGACGTTGATTCGATACAAAACAGAAATCAAATATTTTATAACAGACGTAACATAACTGAATATCATAATGAATATAGCAGCTTCATCACTACCAATTTACTTTTCAATACGGATCCATGTCTATCCAAGTGAGTTTTTGCTGAAGTTACAGCAAAATACCTTAGTAATATAAAGGATTGATAAAATACGGAATGAGATCAGTATCATTAAAAGACAATTCATGAAATAGCAATCGATGAAATTAATGCAACATATATCGAGTATATGTATGTTCAAAATAAATTCTATAAATACTCACCGTGGAAGTATAGAATTTAGCGATGGATCATCTGGACCAGGAATGAATATAAAGTGAACATTACGATCAGCTAATACATCTTTTTGCAAAATAGCTGCCAAGTGGCTAAATCCATCTGAAATTAGATTTATTCAAAAGTACAACTAATGGTAAGAAATGATATGCCCACAATTTTCATATTTAAATAAAAAAGTGGATTATTTAAACAACAAATCTTGGTGGAGCAAGAGTTGGCTATTTTTGTCAAAAAACCATGACAATATGGGAAACTACAAAAAATATAGCATAGTAAGTTACGTTCCACTTTTCAAAGAATAACGAAACTTTTTTTTAACTCAACGATAACGCGTGAAAAACAAACCATAAATGCGATGATATGCGTCAGCTGTACCCACCTGAGAACAAAAATTACCACATATAATGAATGCAAGCAGCTGGGAATCTGTGAAAGCAAATATAAGTTCGTTGATTGCATTCAATATCTAAAAAAAGGAGGTTCCAAGAGGAAATGTATCAGTCAAAACTTTGGAAAATAGCGAAGTTTCTTTCTAGTTCATCGAAAAAGCGCTCTATCTGAATTGTCCTATTTCATGTAATTCAGTAGTCGGATCGCTGCTAAATCGATCCATCAAATTTGACCCACTTATCTATTTCCATACAATAGTGGAAGTATTGCTTAATGTCAAAAAAGACCACAATTCATGTTTTTTTTGAAGGTATATACAAGCTCTTATAACACTGTCAAAAACTGTAGGTTAAAATGAAAAGATTATGCCGATACCATTTGATGGTATTTTAAAGTACTCGAAAATTTTAAGGATATAAGAGATTTCAAAAGAATATCAGGAAAAGAACATAGTGCATTTACTATGTTTTAAGATTTACTTACAGAGTAAAATGCATAACGATGTTCTGTTTCAGCCAACGTCTTTCAAAAGAGAGAAGGACTTAACCCTTGAATCATCCAGCCATACATCTGACATAAGGATGAACCTTGCTCTATCATTTCGTTCGCATAGTGTACGAAGTCGAATCTGCGACCCACAGGCAACGGTACCCTTACCACCAAACCAATTCGTTATTCCAAAGTAATTTCTTGTCATCTTGGCACTTTCAATTGGTGCAAGACCAACAGCACTAACACGAAATACACCACCAATAGATCGGCCCTCCAACATCATTATACAGCCATCGGTAAAAAGACCTTTGTGGAAGGTTGATTCTTTAAGATCGACTTCTATAGCACCTGCAAATCCTGATATTTTTTTTCATGCGATTGTGTTAGCCTGTGAAATACAGCAAATGAATTAACTCTAATCAATTGCATTAATTTGTAAATGCTTCCGAAGCTGAAGTTATTTATGACAATTTAACAAAAACAATTTACTGCTCGGTCTCACCCGTAAGATCCTCGATTTCATAAACGCCAGGATTCCTTTGAGTTAACATCCCTATTAACACCGAATTATCTGCTCTTTCTGGAGTGCCTAGCAGAGCTTCCACCGTGCACAACTGATAATGCTCAAATGCACAACTTCGTAACGCACGCTTAAAATGGACTGAAGCGCAGTGAACCCATCAATAGCATTATCACATTTAAAAGTTAACAAAAGTAGTATTCCATAAAACCAATCTTATATCCGATAATAACTAATAATAGCAAATAAAAATAAATACAGATAAAAATTAGATAGGTTTTTAAACCAATTAACAAAAATTTGCGAAAGTATAGAAATCTCAAGAAATTTTGGAAATTTTCAAGAAATTTGTAAAAGTTTCCAAAAATATAAAATTCCTAAAAATTTATTAGGAACCATAAAATTTCTAAAAGTAAATATGAATTTCTAGAAATTTATAGAAATTTCTTGAAATTTGTAAAACTAAAAGTTTTTAAAAATCCCTAAAAATTTCTAAGAGTTTTCAAAAATTTAAAATAATAACAATAATAAAAACAATAATAGCAATAATAATCATTACTGTCGATTACAGCAATTAATTACAATAATCAATATTAATCAATAGCAATTAATTGTAATAATTAATAACGACCACTGGTTACAGCGATTTAATGACTAATAATAATAGTAATAATAACAACAATTAATGATGATTAAGGGTAATGTAACAATAATAATAATAATAATAATAATAATAATAATAATAATAATAATAATAATAATAATAATAATAATAATAATAATAATAATAATAATAATAATAACAATAATAACAATAAT